GGCCTCCTTTGGATTGGAGTAAATTTCTCTACTTTCTGTGTTTTTTCTATGAAAAATCAACTGATTTTTGTAACCATGTGAAATTCCTGAGTTCCAAATAGGGCTTAAATGTGTGTACGTGTAACAATCATATGAGCTTCTATTGTTTTTTTTTTTGTTAGAAAAATAAAACTCGGGTGGGTGTGTTGGTATCATCATTTTTTCAACCTAAAATTCCTTACCATGCTATCTCGCCCAAGCCTCTAGGCTAGTTGGCCCGGCCCGACCAGGTCATCACTTGGGCCAATAGCCCAACCTCCCAAACATTTACGTTTTTCAGGCCTGCTTGCATAAATAAAGTGCCTACATTTATTTGGAAGAGACGGCTGCCCGCTCTGTTTTTCCATTTCTTTTCCGGTAATGCTCAAGAGCTGCCGTCCGTCCATCCGGACGCCGCTGTCTGGGCCTGCACGTACTGGGCCAACAGGCTTACTTATTTTCTGCGTCTCTTATCTCTTCTCTTAAAAATATCTTCCCATCGCTCTCGCCCATCGTGCGCTGCTTTGGGTCATGCGCTCGCTGTTGCCGTCTTTCCTACCGCGCACCCTATCTCGCGCCGCACGACTCCCCCATCCAGCGCTGCGCTCCATCCTGCGCCACCCCCTCCATCGCCGCGCTGTGCTCCATCCCACGCCGCGCCAGCTCCAACTCGCTGTGCGCTGCACCCATGCTGCTATGCACCGTGCCCCGTCCCCTACACGTGTCGGGGTGCTGTTGGGTGCTGTCGAGGTGTTGCCGACACCGCCGTTCCCCACCAGAAGGTTGTGCCGCTGTCGATGCCTTGGCCATCACGGTGCACGACGAGATATTGCGATAAAAGCACATGTTGTAAGCGTATGTTTTAAGTGTTTTCGATGTTTCAGAGGTACGTTGCAATTATTTTATATGGATGTTGCAAAAATAGATTGGAGGATGTTGCATATGTTGCAAGTGTTTTAGAGGCATGTTACAAGTGTTTCAGTGGTTTGTTCAAAATGTTTCATCTGTTCTAGAAATATGTTGCAAGAGTTCTAATCTGGATGTTGCATATGTTTCACGCATATGTTGTCACAATATGTTCCAAATGTCTTAGCCGTTACATACTTATGTTGTAGTAAGTGTTTTCATGTTGCAAGTTGTAAATGTTTTATCTGGATGTTGCATATGTTTCACACATATGTTGCAAGTGTATATTCCAGATGTTTCATCTGTTGCATACATTTGTTGCATTCAAGTGTTTCACGTTGTTCGGAGAGTCAGGGACGCGGGGAGCGATGGTGGCACGACGCGGGCACAGGGGAATGTCGCGTGACGAGCGGGACTAGCGGACGGGACACGATAGGGGTGGGGTGCGATGCGGTGTGGGGCGAACGGCCTCGAATCGAGGTGGATAGGGCAGGCTGCGAGTGCGAGGCGAGTCCTCCAAACACGCGGGAGCTACGATGGGGCGGGATGCATGTGTGGGGTTGGAATTCAGGCGAGGACGGAGGTGCTGATTGGTAAGGCTAGTCTCAACAGAGATTTACAGTAAGCCTTAAAACCTAAACACAGTTACCAAATTGTCTTGCCTGTCCGTGAAAAAACTGTGACAACGAACTCTATCCCTCTCTTTATAATTAACTTGCTAACTTAGCAAATTTGCTAATGTGTCACATTATTAAATGAGAATAAAATTTCTTTGAAACTCTCATTGAGACTGGCCTAACCATTTTGAAACATGGGGAGTCGCGGTAAATTAGTAATTTTGCAATCATTTTGAGGAAGCAGGTAGTGATTGTTTATCACATCGAATGAAAAAAACTTGACTCGAAGGGTTTAAGACTGCCCCCACATCATTCCAAATAAGAAGAAGACCTTCTCATCAAGCCGAGAAAACCCTCGAACTCCCGCCCATCCTTACTTGGTGGCTTTCTGTTGCCCAAGTGAGAATTGGGCCGATGCCCCCAATGCTTTGGGTATGGGACGGACGAGGGGATTTGTTTAAGCTCAGTCTAAAATTCGTTTCCACGGGGAGTCGAACTCAGGACCTGAAGAGTGTCACCGGGGTACTCTGACCAACTGAACTAGAGCCCCTTTGGCGTTTATCACATCCAATACAAATTACAGAGTATTTATATGTTTATTACTTTTGACAATAAGGGCCTGTTTGGAATACATGAATTTCATAGGAACCACGCAAGAGTTTTATAGGAATCAGTTTAATTTCACATGAAAAACGCAGAAACAGAGAAAAATTTCCACGTTTCAAACAGGCCCTAAACAAAGAGAGCAAAAATAAATAACTATTAGTTGTGGATCTTAATATTCTCCACAAACTTGTAATGCTCATGCGGTCTCGCAATTTAAAGCTTGTTTGGGAATACACATTGATGAACCAGTATAAACAAATACTGCTGACCTAACACATAAAGGTATAGCTACTTCGCCTGTTTCAATTTGCAAGTACCTTTAATTTTTTTTTAGGTATATAATTTATGTTATGCATCTAAATATATGTTATGTCTTGATACATAGTAAAATATTACATAGTGAAGCCTCTGTACGTAGAAAACCAAAAGGAACTTAGAATTTAGAAGTGAGAGAGTAGTTTTTCTTATCGAAATATGCAGAGTAGAGTCGTGGATCTCTATACTAAAAAAGGAAAAAAAATGTTGTACATGTATCAAGCCGCTCCAACACAGACAGAGTGTGCTTATACAGCTTGAGAAACAACCAATCAACAAAAACACCTTTCTCAGCCTAAGGAGCTGTAGGCTGTAGCAGCCAGCGGCGTTGCTGTCGGCAAGCTCTTGGTGTTGAGCGCCGCATGCAGATCACAGCAATCTTGTTTGAGGATGAGAATGGCCCGGGCCGTGCTGTACCCATCTGTAATCCAAATCCGGGCTCCCATTGGCGCAGCCGCACCTGGTTGGCACTGCCTCCATCAAGCTAAGATCACTCACAGTTCCCTGCCCTGCAGAAAAAGAAACGTTTTCTTCTTCAATAGGAATATTAATTGCGAGATAGCGGCAGAAAGGAACGGGGTGAGGAAAACGCCACAAGAGAATGATCGAGATGAACTGGATGGCGAGGTACTCTACCAAGCTGCTAGCTGTCGCCCAGGTTGTGCAGTCGGTTTCGGCAATCTGGATGGATGTTGGATGGAACATTTCCCTGTCAATTTATTCTCTTTCTCTCAGCGGGCGGCAACTAGCAGATATGCCATATTTATTTATCAGTTTTCAGAAGAAAGATTAGAAATACAGTAACTTTTTCAGTACTCTCGAAAGAGATAGTGTTGTCGTCCTGTGTAAGAGTAAAATTTGTTAACGCATCGAATGACTGAACGTCGCCTCGAACCTGGATGCTCACATGCTTTCTACTGAACGCAGGAGCTTCCGCCATGATCATGAAAAAGAAATAAAAAGAAGCAGATCGAGATCGGATCCGTCGATGAAGACGCTATCCTTATATTCTCCAAGGCTATATATATCCTCGTTTTCTTTCAGCTGCAGACTCTAATTACTAAATATATGAGTACGAAAATTGGGTACTGTCTGATGTTACACGTATTTGACTACTTGTTCATTGATCAACGCACTTATCAATCAGTCAGACAGTCACTGTTTATGATTGAATTTAGAGTTAGAGTGATAAGTCATCATGAGTTGCAGATGGCAAGAATCAGCTCTGGTCATGAATGAATTCCCCTTCACCGTGATATGCCGGAACGTTCTTGCAGCCTACTTAGGGCTCGTTCGTGTGCCTTTAAATCTAACTTGATCCGCTTCTTTTTTTCATCTAGAACCATGTTTTTTCCTCACAAATTCCTTTCGACATTCCTCAAAACTATCAAATTCTTTCAAAATTCATCCAAACGAACATGCCCTTGAAAAAGATGGGTACTACATCCCGTACCTTTTTTTTAAAAAAAAACTGCTTGGACTCTTTTAAGATTTCGACGAATGATCCAAATCCAATCCCTTTGGAATTCTTATTGCAGCCTTGCAGGATCGCTCATGCGTACCACACTCATGAGCCGTCCAAAAGGATACTCTTTTATTTTTTTTAACAGATAACGGGAATCTTGTTCCTCCAAAACAAGAAGATGGAGAGGAAATCACAGTGCCTTCAGTTGCAGAGGAGAAACCAACTCTCATTATTACAGTAGTTTATTTACGCAATCCGAAGCAGCTTGCAGCAATAGCAGGAGCAGAGCAATGGCAAACAATGCATCCGTTCCTTGCTCCAAGCTGCCAATTCCGAGGGCCGACATTTATCCCACGCCAAGGGGATCCGACAACGATGCCAACGCTTGTCCTGCCTCCGACATCGAAATCGCAGCTGCAAAAATCGCGTCCTTCTCATCCCAATCCCACTCCCCATTATTTCCCGGGAAAAATCCACGCGGAAATTCCCCAACCCGCCACCACACGGCCTCTCTTCTTTCTCGAGAGAGCGAAGTACAGTAAGAAAACACTTATTAACGGGGCAGCGGCGCAGCCACAGCCACCCGGTGTACGAGCACTCCGACTTGTGTGTGCTCATGCCGTGCTGCTACGGACCTGCCTCATAAAAGCTCCCTGCGCTTGCTCCTGTTTGCAGCTTGCACGGAGGCGGGGTAGAAGACGACTTGCGCAAGGTATCTCTGCTCGAGCGGAGCAGTACTCCGTTCAGATTCAGGTACTAGACTTGATAGAGGTAGACGTCAGCTCACTGGCTCAGTCGTCAGTATTCATCAGCAGTACCAAGGCTTCTCTATCTTCTTTCTCTCTTCCGCAATCGAGAAGGGTAGCTAGCTTAGCTTCTCTTCTCCTCCCCTTTCTTGCCTATCTTTTTTTTTTCTCCTTCTCCTTCTCCTTCACCTTCTCTTTGGGTTCTGCTTCGACGGAGAAGTTTCTTGTCTTGGTTAGTTCCCTGACGCCGGCTGTTCTTGCCACGGGGCTTCTCTCCTTCTGCAGGAGACGAGGCGTTCTTCTCTGGGTCCTAGAAATCCTGACGAGATGGACGGCAATACGAGGTCGGCGGCGGCGATTCAGAAGAAGCCCATAGTGTAAGGATTTTGTTTTCGCCATTCGCTCCCACTCTCCTTTCGTGCCCATTGATTGATTGATGGTCCCTGGACGGACGCTGATTTGCGCGTGCTCCCTCCAATGGCGCCCGCAGCGCGGACGACGACCTCATCGAGCTGCTGTGGCACAACGGGAGCGTCGTGGCGCAGCCCCAGGCGCACCACAGGCCGGCGCCGTCGCCCTCCGACCGCGACCGCCCGGGCACCAGCGGCCTCACCGGCGAGGAGACGGCCGCGTGGTTCCCGGACACCCTCGACGACGCGCTGGAGAAGGACCTGTACACGCAGCTCTGGTACAGCACCATCGCCGACGCCGCCCCGCAACACGAGGGCATGCTCCCGGGCCCTACCTCGCAGCCTTCGCCGCTGCCGCCGGTTGGGAACAGCGGCGTCGACTCGAGCTGGGCCGGCGACATCTGCTCAACCTTCTGCGGCAGCAACCAGGTGCCCAGGACGCCGGCAGGGACCAGCGGGAAGGACGCGGCATTGCAGTCGGAGGGGCCGAGCGGTGCCGGCGCGCACGATGGCACATCGTCGTCCGGTGGGTCTGGAAGCAACTATGGGGGATCCGGGCTGCCCAGTGACAGCGTCCATGTCCACAAGAGGAAGGGGAGGTGTAGAGACGACTCAGATAGTCCGAGCGAGGTGTCTACTTTGTTCATCTTGTTTGGTTGGTTGTATAACCTGTATCCTGAACGAACTACTAGGAAATAGGGATGCTTGAGTGGAATACAATTGATGAGGAAATCGCAGGATGCCGAGTGTGAGGAGGCAACTGAGGAGACCAAACCGTCGCGGCGACATGGGCCGAAACGCCGGACTCGTGCAGCTGAAGTCCATAATCTCTCAGAGAGGGTGAGATCAGAATCAGATTGTGCTATCAAAGAAAAGCCTATTTTCAGAAAGGCAGGCAGCTTGTTGGTAAATTGTTCTTACAGCGTTCTTGACTGCTGCTGAATGCTGATGTAGAGAAGAAGGGACCGGATCAATGAAAAGATGCGTGCGTTGCAAGAGCTGATCCCGCACTGCAACAAGGTATATTAATACAGTATTATGCATCTTTTCTTGTCAGGTGTGCAAGTCCCTTGTATAATGAAACTCTGTTGGTGAGTGGTAACATATGTCCTTGATCATTGTCAGCATGTTTAGTTTGCTTTTCAGCCATCTCATTTTGTCTTACTTTATTTATCAACTCTAATTGTCAGACTGACAAAGCGTCAATACTAGACGAGACGATTGAGTATCTCAAGTCCCTCCAAATGCAAGTTCAGGTTAGCAGCTACTCCAACCTAAACTTACATGATCCGATACAAGATCATTTGCTGGTACCGAATGAAACTAAGAAATAAACATGTTTTTCAGATCATGTGGATGACTTCTGGGATGGCGCCAATGATGTTTCCTGGTGCTCACCAATTCATGCCACCAATGGCTCTAGGCATGAATTCAGGTTGCATACCTGCAGCACAAGGCCTAAGTCAGATGCCAAGATTACCATACATGAGCCACCCCCTGCCAAATCATATCCCTCTGAACTCATCTCCAGCTATGAATCCAATGAATCCACTGAACGCTGCGAACCAGATGCAAAACGGTCACCTCAGGGAGGCAAGTAATCACTTCCTTCACCTAGATGGGCGAACAGCGGTGATACCTCAGGTGAGATCACAATATGAGGACCCAGATGTCATGGATTTCAGGGACAATTTTCAACCTTCTTTTGTCTGCTCATCACCTAGCTGATTAACTAAAGAAACCATCAATTGTTGTGCAGGTACCAGGACCCCATGTTTATGGACATCATATAGCACAAGCCGAAGAACCCAATAATATACTGGAAGTGGCTGCTAGTACTGTTGTGCCAACTTCTAGGGCAGGGCAACCTCCTACTTTTGATGGAGTTTAGAGTGACCAAAATCTTGTAAGGTGTTGCGCTGATAGACTGACAATGCATAGCATAGGTACCTCGAGTTGTATATCTGTACAGAAGTGTCAGCAACATATTCTTTGACATCTAAGCTGAGTTATTATTAGGAGTCTAGTATAGGTAACAAGGCAACTGCCTGTCTACCACCATATTGTATCTGTGGAAGAACTCGAGCTGCATACTGTGTTCAAGAGAGAATGGAATGGATGAGTATTATATGAACTTATGAAGTACAACCTGTGAGTTTAAACGGCTGGATCCATTCCTTGAGATTGAATTGACAGTTTTGTACATATTAGGAAAGAGTTAGATAACGTCAAGACCAGTCGGTTTAACCATCCTTTTCTTGACACTTACAGGATCAAGAAAGGATCTTCTTTCTGGCAATCACTGAAAATACTGACATGATGAGGAGCAGGTGGCATCTCTATAGCTGCACTGTAGTATATCTACATCAATATGGCAATATACTTGTCTGGGACATGAATGCTACAATTACATGTAAATGCAGAGTTGCAGTTAGATAGCAACCTTTCTCCCCCTGAGATGTGCAAATGTACTGATCTTAACAACAGTATTCAATCAGCAGTCAATTCCTAGGATGTCATAAGGTACTGTGGAAACATTTTCCCTTCGAATACTACTGTTATACTAAATCAATGAGATGTTTGCAGTTTATTTGTTTTTCTTAAAAAAAAATTAATAAGGGAGTGTTGAAATGTTTGTTGTCAACTGACCAAAATCCAATCAACAGGTCCTACCTACAAACAGATTGGATAACAAGCCTATGAATCCAAAGTGCATATGCATATCATATATCAATCAATCCTGTCTTTCTGCCTGCTCTCCTATTACCGGGGAACCAACAGTCACAACATTGGTCTTATCTATATTGGTTGCTAACACCATTTTCTGCTTGTGGAAAGGTTTGGTCTGCTGGATATGAGCTCGCCAGTCAGTCCATGCATCTTCACACGACGTGGACTGTGGGCATGCTCCAACGGCAACGGTTCAGCATCCTCCTGGCGAACTTGTGGCTCACAGCAGCCGCGAGAATCTGTGTGGAGCCCTAGACTTGTTGGCTACTTGGCTTGTTGCAAGATGCCAGGCTCTCATCCTCAGAGTTCAGACTGGAGGGGGTTCCTTCTCCAGACTTTTTCTATGATGTTACAGCATTCAAGTGCATGTTACACTCAGGGCCCTATCAGCACATGCTCACTGCAACCGGTGATGATAGGATAAGATGCTCATATCTCCTGAGCTCTTCTTGTTAGGATCGATGATTAGTACCTCTGTGTGTGTAACCCGTAGATCCGGGAAGACCTCATCCTTGTCTTCTCCGTAGATGTACAACAGCGGGTAGACGCCGGTGCCGCGGTAGCTCCGGCTCGGTGGAGTCCGTGATGGTGGTGATCCAGTGGCACTGTGGAGACCCAGTCCAGTGGCGCCGGCGGTGTCCCTGCATAGGCGACGGCGGTGGTGGTGGGGCACATCCCGTCGCTGACAGCACGCTTTAGGATCGGATTAGGGTTAGCTCTGTAGGTGGGTGGCGGCTCCGTTCAACCTCGTTATCCGAGCCCTCACCCCCACCTTCCTTTTATGTGTGCTGTGCGACAGGGGTCCACCAATCGGATTAGGGTTGGGCTCCCCCGATCAGGGAGCAGAGATAAGGGTCCAATAGGCCGTTGGGCCTATTGGTGGAGATCAACTAACATTCTCCCCCTTGATCTCATTCCATCTTTCACTTTCATATCATTTACTTTTGTTCATTCCATTACAGATTAGCTCATAGAGCATGTCTCATCGTCACGGTCCATTGCCGATAGACTTAACAGCTATAACTCACTACTCTGTTCTGAAATAGATACTTATCTTTGGGCCTTCTTTTGTCCAGGAATATTTTAGGCTTTCCCTTAAACCCAAACTAGCCATGTCCTCTGAACATGTTGGGTGGTAAGCCTTTTGTAAGCGGATCCGCGAGCATCCTTTATGTTCTTATATGCTCAAGACTTATGACTTGATCTCAGACTTTATCTTTCACAACATAATATTCTATGTCAATGTGTTTGGTAGCACCACTTGACTTATGTTATGAGCATCCTATACTGCCAGATTATAATCGCAGTATTACTTTAGTGGTCTATAGATGTCGTCAACCACCTTCAAACCGGGTATGAACTTCGTTAGTTAGTTCACCTACCCATTGCCTCATAACACGCTACAAACTGTCATACATTGTGGACGATGTAGTGACAGTTTGCTTTGAGCTTTTCCATGAAATAGCTCCCCTTTGCGAGATGATAGAAAATCCACGTCTGGATATGCATTCACTCTCGCATAATCAGAATCTGAATATCCCACCATGTGGAGTGAATCAGATCTTCTATATGTCATCATGAGGCCTTTCGTTCCTTGCAAATAATGCAAGACTTTCTTTACTAATTTCAGTGTTCTATTCCAGAATTGCTCTGAAATCTGCCAAGTAAAACCCGGTAACAAATGCTAAGTCAGGGCGCGTACATACTTGAACATGTTGCAAACTTCCGACAACTGAAGCATATGGAACCACTTTTACTTTATCGATTGAGCTCATATTGGTTCCTGGGGTATTGAAAATCCACATATCTGTCGCCCTTGACTATAGGAGCAGGTGAGGAACTACATCTGTGCATACTGAATTTCTTTAAGATCTTTTCCATGTATGCCTTTTGTGACAGTCCTTATACCATTTTTCTTCTATCTCGGTGAGTCTCGATCCCTAGAACGAATGAGGCTTCGCCAAGATCTTTCATATCAAATTTCTTTGTCTCCAGTGGTAGACTGACATCACCACTAGCAAGTAAGATATCATCTACATACAGGACAAGGAAGATAAACTTTCCATTCTTAAACTTTGTATTGACACAATTGTCCTATACATTATCTTTACTTTGTATAGACACAATTGTCCTTTACATTCTCTTTAAAACCCAAAATCCTTTATTGTCTAATCAAACTTCAAGTACCACTGTCTTGAAGCTTGTTTTAATCCATGAATGGATTTCTTTAGACGACATCCCGTTCGTTCTTTTCCTTTCATGACAAAACCTTTCGGTTGTGCCATGTGAACATTTTTCTCCAAGTATCCGTTGAGAAATGACGTCTTTACATCCATCTGATATAATTCTCAATCGTAATGTGCCACTAATGCCATTATGATTCTGAAGGAAACTTTACATGAGACTAGAGAAAAGGTCTCATTGTAATCAATCCCTTCTCTTTGCATATAGCCTTTTGCCACAAGTCGCGCTTTATATTTCTCTATATTCCCTCGAGAGCCAAGTTTTGTTCTGTAGACCCATTTACAGCCTACTGTTTTGGCTCCTTTAGAAATTATTTCCAAATCCCAAACTTTATTGGCATTTATCGATTTCATTTCATCTTCCATGGCCTTAAGCCACTTTGATGAATGATCACTTCTCATGGCTTCTTCAAATAAGGTGGGATCATCCTCCATTTAAAATTCCTTAGTGTTATACACTTCATAATCAGTAGAAATAACTGATTTTCTAACTCTTTGAGACCTACTAGGGGCCTTTACATTTGGCACATCTTTCTGTTTGAGGTTGTTGTTGCTCCCCCTTATGTGTGGCAATAGGTTCTATAGGATCCTGAAGAACATGTTCCTCATTTTCATTCATTGTTGCCACAGGTGGGATAACAACAGGTGCTGGCACCACAGTACTTAGCACTGTCGGTGCAGCGACAGCAGGTAGTGAGAAAATTAGCTCATGAATCATTGGAGTGGGCGCATACATCCGCTTCACTTCAAGGTCAATTTCTCGAGCTACCATGCTTCCCCCCATCTTTTCATTCTCTAGGAAAACAGCGTGTCTCGTTTTCACAAACTTTGTATGTCTCTCTGGACAGTGGAAAACAAAAACCTTTTGACTTTTCTGTGTTGCCAATGAAATGGCACCTTACTGTTTTGGGATCTAACTTCCCAATGTTTGGGTTAAATACTTTAGCCTCAGCAGGACTCCCCCCACACACGCAAGTGGTTTAGTGAGGGTACACTTTCTGTCCACAACTCATACGGTGTTTTGGGCACCGATTTACTTGGTACTTTATTGAGAATATGAATGGCCGTTTTCAACGCCTCCATCCACAGGCTCAACTGTAAGGTGGAGTAACTTATCATACTGCCCACCATATCCATTAGGGTACGATTGATTCTTTTAGTTACTCTATTCTGCTGAGGTTCGTCCGGTGTAGAATACTGGGCTACTATGCCTTTCTTTTAGGGTATGCTGACTGTAGTACTTCTCCACGGTCAGACCTGACTATCTTAATCTTTAATATCTTAAATTTATCCAATACATCTTTTCTTTCTTTGATTGAATAAATATAGCCATAATGGGAGTAATCATCTGTGAATGTTATGAACGAATCACAACCATCCATACTCTTTACAGGAAAGCTGACCACAGATGTCAGTGTGAATAATCTGTAAAATTCTTGTGCTTCGTTTGTCATCTTTCTTTACATACTTTCCTTTTATGCATTCTCTGCATTATTCTTAATCTGAGAGCTCTAATGGAGGAAGAATATCATTCTTAACTTGTCTTTCTATTCTCCTCCTCGAAATATGGCCGGAATGATAGTGTCATAATTTCGACAACGCATCGTGAGCTCTCTTATACCACCATTTCTAGATTAACTTTCTGTCACCAACTGCTTTATCAGCTGTGTGGCATATGTCTTTGAAGAGCCAGTGAACTGACTCTTTATTCTATCGAGGTACTCGGTGACCGTGTCACACACTGGGATTGAGCCCACAATTGCAGGTTCAATCATGTTCTTTATCATAGCCAAACATTTCTTGTTGGCAGTGACCCACTTCCGATGCTCAAAAGTCATAGAACATCTTTTGGGATTCAAAATTCCTTTCTTTAGTTGCCCAAGTGGCATCATTCTCTTTTGTCTCCCTCACCGGTGCC